CAAAATTTGCAGTATGAAAGTTTGGATTTGGGAGACAGGGATATTTGAAATTTTTCACGTTAATCAATTCGATCTGCATAACGTTGCGATGCATAATTTGATGTTATGCACGGGGACTCTCGAATTTAAGCAACCCCCACAAAAAATCGATCAAAAAATGATGACGTAGGGGGTTGCTTAAATTCAAGCAGGTTTAAAGTAAGAGACCCCGGGCAGTTTATATAGCGAATTATGATACATGTCTAAATGGCAAATGTTTTGATGGCTTTGTGATTACGTTTTTTTGATGCTTCACTATCCATGATCAAAATGTGGCGCCTATTTTTGAAAATTAACATTTGTCAAATAGTGCACAGGATTAATCAATAACCATTCACTATAATAAGGTAGTTTATCACATTGCGCACATATTAATATAAAATTAAAGCTCTATATAACGCTGGATCGGTGCAGGCTCAAAAAAAATCGTTTAATGAGCGTTAGATGAGGCATTGTTATAAACAAATGCTTTGTATTATAGTCAGGACTTTTCAAAAGTTCGCAATAACCAAATCTCGCTATATAAGGGGATCATAATACAGAGTTTTGAATTCCTTTCTAGTAAGAAGTAATAGGTTGATCATTAAATTTCGATTCTAAAATCTCGAACCTTAACAGATTCATGATTATAACTAAACTTTATTAAAGGGATTATTTTAAAAATTATTATCGTTGAATCTTTGATGTACAATTATGTATAGATTCTAATCTCAAGAAAAAAAGTATTAAATTAATGCCAATAGTTTTTGGGGGTGGGGAATCGATCGATCTTTGGTCTTTTTGATAATAATTGTTAGCGAATACATAAATTAATCAGCGTAATAACGACTCGGGCACATTCAATAGATGTCTCATTCGTTCCACTTTCACCTTCAGATATTGGTCTACTTCGTTACCACGGCGATTTGGATCGTGATCATGCTGCCAAGCGCGCGGTACCATCGGAATACGCTCAACAACTTTTAGACCATCACCTTCGAGCTGTTCGATTTTATCCGGATTGTTAGTAAGCAGACGAACTCTGGTCAAATTAAGATCAACGAGAATTTGTGTTGCGATGTCATAAGTTCTAAGGTCTGGTGGGTGATGCAATAGAAGGTTTGCTGTTACAGTATCATGTCCTAAATCCTGTAAATTATAGGCTCTATAATCGGTATAATTTCATAGTATTGATAATACATGACATCATTAATATTATGAATAAATATGATACGTACAAGAATTAATATTATTTACCTAAGTTTTTCTGCTAGACCAATGCCACGACCTTCTTGTCGCAAATAAACAATAACGCCCCGACCTTCTAATTGTATTAATCTCATTGCCTCCTGTAACTGTTCACCACAATCACAACGAGCACTCTGCACAGTTTCACCCGTAAAACATTCCGAATGAATCCTCACTAATGGAGGTGAAAAAAGCTGTTGTTGATTTGCTGTTATCAACGTAGATGACGATGACATCAATAATGATGTCGTCAACGTCAACGACGACGATGATGATGAATCATCTGATCTCGTTTTTCCAGGCTTTAATTTTCCCATATATGCTCCACGTATAATTCTATCCATATCCGTTTCGCCAGGACGCGGAGTATCTAAACTCCTACTACGAATGTCTTCACCATATACGACAGCTAAATGTTCTTTATTATCTTGATTGTTCTTGTAGAGATGCAAAAAAAATTCCCCAGTAGGAGTGGGGATACGCGCTCGTACCAGACACTCTACTTTACTCGGTATGTTTCCGGAGCCAAAAATTAACGAGGGAGTAGCTGGTGGGGTTGGAAATGGCTCAGAATTGCGTAAAATAAGTTTGTGATGTTGAGTTCCAGCAACTTTAACGCCATTTGAATAAGGTTTTTTAGCACTATTGTTAGTCATAGAAGAACGTCTCCTCGAGGAAGAGACGAGGTGAGTGGGAGTTAAAGTGACTAATGTTGTTTGTGACGGTGATGGCGGTGTCGTTGTTGTGGTAGTCGTTCCTCCCAATGTGGTCACTGTTAATGCATCAGTGGCAGTTGTCTGTGTTGATATGGAAGTCGTTTTAAAAGTAGTAATATCGACAGGTTGAGCAAACAATGTCTCTTCTAATGAATGACGGCCCATAAATAAAAATTCTAAAGATATTGTGGAAGGTGAGGAAATGCAATGCGTCTCATAGAGTAGAGTAAACGAAGCCCGGGACGATTTCGGAATGATCGATTAGGTTTAGTTTCGAGATTTTTTTTTATTACACGTGATATATTATTATTATTAGATTGATAAATGAGTTATTAAAGAAAACGGGAAAACATGTTTGATCATTCGGAGAATAATATATGAATAACAAAGAGAACATGAAAGCACGCTTTTTGCGTAAGCATTTATATATGCGGTATTCTCAAAGAACGATTGACAATCTTTTTTACATTATTATTATTTGTGCATTATCGATATTTAAACATCAATAATCTATATTAGTCATAAAGTATTTGTCAGGCAAAAGATTACCCTAGAAAACATTATTTTAAAAGTCGGGGTGAAACACAAATTGGCATTATTTTCTAGTTCACTCTGGTTGTTTCGCTATTTAATAAGCTTAAATAAATGGTCCAAATTACGCCGATCGAGCTAACAAAAGGAACCCGATATTGTAACGGGAGAAATCGAAAATTTACGAGTTGAACAAGTGGCCAGACTACGTAATTTGCCTTTAATGCTGGAAAATAAGCCTAAAATAACCAAAAATTAATAAGTACCATATCAAATTTATATTATATGATACTTATATGTTGCTTACATCAGTAAATTTATCTCTAATTGCTTGCAACCCATTTGCTTCCATTAATCCCATCACACCAAAGAATAAAGCCAATCCAACTGGCGCGAAAGCACTTTGATCAACAACCGTTCTTTTGAATACGGCACGCATCGTTTCTCGTCTAATTTGCGTGTTATTTTTTTCTACAGCAATTGGCTGCGGCAACGGAAATCTTTTATCCAACAGGTTAAACCAATTATACACAACCGGTGCTATCAGAAACCCATATGTGGAATAACGTGCAAGTCGAAGAAAATCGAATTGTTGTGACATTGGCGATTTTAGATTTGAGATCGATTGTGCGAGCGTATCCGATAAAGCCGCAAGACTTGCATTAGTACAAGCCATTGTGATCAGTGGGTGGCTTTGATATTTGTTGTTGTAAAAACGGTTCGCTAAAATAAGAATACTTGCCATTTTTGTATAAATTAATTACAGTAAACAAAAAGAATTTGAAAGTGGAGAATAAAGAGCAAAAAAATTAGCAGTCTCTTGATCTTTTAAATATTTTCATGTTGGAAAGTAAACATGCAAGTTTTAAATCATACATAGACTAAACGTGAGGGAATGATTATTTTATGACGTAAATGAAAATAAATATTCTTATCAACTACCGCTTTTTTTAATGATTTCCACTAACGACTCACGTGATAGACATTAATAAACAACCAAACTTCATTCTTTGACGAACGATTACAAATATTACCGCATTTTTATAACTTAGCCTTAGCCTTAATTTTAATAGGGACACTCATTCAACATTTTTATTCGTTATATAATAAAGTAACCACGTAATACAATGCGACGTAAATTAGCGTTTCGTACTAATGTATGGGATCCTCTTCTCATCATCCCACAGGTAAGAGAACACGTTTTCGGCTTTGGGTTCGATTTATTAAGAATAAAGCTAAATTTAGAAATTCTTACTCTTTACAGATTATTGCACTACAAGCATTATATTATACTTCTATATCTGTTATAGTTCTCTTTACATTATTAATAACGGGGAATGATATTACATTAGACCATTTGTTAGATTATCGAGAATTTCGCGGGGATACGGTGCTTGGATGGACATTGGGTTTCGCTTGGATTTCAAATTCCGTTGTAGGGTTAGTTCGATATTAATCTAATAAGTCATGTGATAATTTTCTTCTTTATCAACTTGCTCATATCCATCGTTAATATGGGTGACAGAATATATTTACTGTTACGAGTAGTTCAACGAGCAAAACTCGTATTAGACTTCACCGTAACGCTACACTTTTTCCACCTAATCATCACGAGCTATTATTCAGGTCATATACCGACAACATTTGTCTGGTGGGCAATAAATGTGACCACATGTTGTATAATGATATTTGGTGGGGAATTGTATTGTATGCGAAAAGAGATGGAGCCGATTATGTTAGGTGGCGGAAGTGGTGGCGATGGTGAAGGGGTAACAAACGGAGGTGGTGGAGGAGGAGGTAGTACTGCTCAAATAAAAAATAAAAAAAGTGCCGAAGTAGATCGAGATCGATATGAAATGGTCCCGATGGAAGAAATTGAAGTTGGTGGATGATAGTGTTGCATGCCGTAATAGTTTTAATAAAGTGGAAAGATCGCAACTTTTTGACTTACTTAAAATAGTAATTTTTGCCGTAATTGATGTAATACTCTAATATTGTTGTAAAGTCTTAATTGATGCATTATTCGTAATTGGTGTAAAAGTTCGCGATTAATATTTGTACAAAATAATGAAATCCCGTAATTTCACGTACGGCCTCTTTGGGGTTCAATGTCTCGAGATCCGGTGACGGAAATCGAGTGTAAGGCCATCATTTGATTCAACAGAACCTAGGGAATCGAATGGTCAGTTTTACACTCGCTTCTCGTCACTGGGTCTCGAGATATTGAGCCCCAAAGAAATTGTACATGAAAGTTTTCGTCAAAAATAAACCAGAATTCTACGTACGGCCTTTTTGGAGCTCAATATCTCGAGACCTAGTGACGGGAATTGAATATAAGTCCTATCATTCGATTCACCAGATCTAGAGAATCGAATACTCGATTCTCACCACTGGGTTCCTAAATATTAAGATGGCGAAAAAAGTTACAAATCATGTTATTTTTAAGGGTAGAGTCAAGGACATGCAAAAATTTTTTAAACAATAAAATCGCAACAAATCGAAAGTTTCGCAATATATCGCAATAAAATGCATTTTCGAAATAATTTATTTGTAATCACGTGATATAATGGAGATTTTCAAGAACTCCGAAAAATTTTGATATATCGGAAGTTTGAATAAATCTTTTACAATTACTCTCTTCGTAATAAGCAAAGAAGAGTACAATTATGTATATACATGTATATATACATGCATGTGTGTGTGTGTATGCGTGTGCTACAAAAATCGTTTTTAGATTATTTCTATTTCATTTGAATAAGAATTATCCTATTTCATTTGAATAAGAATTATCGGTATGTTATGAAAAGTAACTCTAAGCAAAACGAATAACTCCATATAGTCGTGGACAAGAGATTTTATTTATGATAATGGAATTTCAGTTCATGTATGTCAGTTTGTAGTCATTCAACATAAAACAACTATTATTTCGCATATTAATGCAGCAAGTCGTAAGAAAATCATAATCTTGAATAAATAACACAAAAATTTAATTCGGCACTTAATAATGTATCTGTGACAATTTTACAAGAACGGACAATTTAATTTAAATGAAATTGAATTGATTTTTGATGTGAATGGATGCCAAATATATTTAGTTACCAATTTCATCATGTTTTCAATATTTTAAACAAATAACTGACATAATTTGAGTTTAGAATCACTTGAATTTGATATATTCCATAATAAATAACAAAAAAATTTCAATTATCGAAATAAATACCGTAAACTCTCGAATTTAAGCAACCCCCTACGTCATCATTTTTTGATCGATTTTTTGTGGGGGTTGCTTAAATT